AGGACATCAGAAGGGGAGAAAATGAAAAATAGCAATGACTGCCACTAAAATTATTTGGCCAAACCTAGTTTTCTCTAAATGAATCAATTTTTTTTAAGTAACAATGCTGTGTCCAATGGCTTACATTAAGTACTTATTTTCATATTATCCCAACTAAATCTAAAGTGATAATGAGTCCTTAGAGAAACTCTGCTCAAAAGCTTGTCGTATGTCGACCCAGTCCGGGTGCCCGAGCGATTCAGTCCGCTATCCTGCGAGTTTGCTCAGAGAACCACCCCCACGCTGGCCCCACTTTGCTCTTTGTCACAGCAGATGATGGCTGCCAACCGCTTCTCCTAGGCTACCTGGAAAAATGGCTTCTGGGTGTTCTGCCCATGGAAGGCACTGCTGGGAGGCTGAGGGCAGGTGGAGAGAGGGAGCGGAGGACACGGTTCAGTTCCCACCAGGAGGCCCTCTCCCTCCGCTCGGCCACCTCGGGCCACCCTGGCTACTGGGCACTGAGGTCACCACCTCCTCCCGCTGCATCAGAGCCCCAGCTTCAGCTTGCCCAGTGTCTTTCTAACCAGCTCCCACTCTAATTTCCTCTGGAGAATGCTCTTTTTCTGCCTGGAGCTGATGGATATCATTAAAGAAAGCCACACTTACTGGACTTGGTGGACCCAGGGACTCTGGCAGGAGGTCGTGGTCCTCTCCATGAAGAGCCAGCCTCAGTCTTTCTGAACGCACGCAGGTGTCTAAGTCTACTTGCTCATAGCCCACCGCGCTGGTGAAATCCAACAGTCTAGATACAAACATGAAAGTGCTTTCAAAATTAAGATTATTATAAACCAATACATGAACCCATGTCATTTGATTACTGCACAATTAAATCCATTAAAAACCACTAATATATCTCACTTAGAGTAACCAAACGGACCACCCTTCATAGTGACTAGGAGTCCATATACACTGTCGGCCCTGTGCATCCGTGAGTTCCCTACCCATGGATTCAACCAACTGCGATCACAAGTATTAAAAAAACAAAAAACAAAATAAAACAAGACAAAATAACAATAAAACAGAAAAAGGTAATAAAAATAAAAACTGCAGTATAACAACTCTATATAGCATTTATACTTAGATATTTTAAATAATCTAGAGATGGTTTAATGTACAAGGGAGGATACATGATTACATATGCAAATACTATGTCATTTCACATGAGGGATTTGAGCATCTGCAGATTTTGGTATCTTAAGGGGTCCTGGAACCAATTGCCTATGGATACCAAGGGATGACTGTACCATCTTATATATTTTCTTGTTTAATTCTTCTGCTTGAAATGGCCACCCTCCCCCTAGCCGATCCCCACGTGAACCTCCTAGCCATTCCTGAGCATCTTGCAGGAGTCAGCTCAGATGCCATCACCTCCTCCTGCAGCCTGGTGAGCTACACTTGTCATCTGTCCTTTTCCTCTGAAGTTCCAGGACCATATCCTTTGCCTGCACAGATCCCACTGGCACTTTCCCAGGACATGGCTGTGAACTGCACAGAAACATTTCTGCCCTATCAGCTCCACAGCATCATGGCTTTCAGAAGCATGAAGATGCATAATCAATGAATAAATGAATGAACAGACAACTGGGTGAATAAATATATTACAAGACTGTACAAATAGCTAAGCCAAGGTTCTAACATAATAATTGTGTTAAAATCCAATGCTATGTTTTATTCTTGCAAATTTCAGAGACTCCTAAGAGATAATTTAACTGAGAAGGACACTGTGACCATGAAAGATCCAAGTCCTTGCTTGAGGTCACAGGGCAGTCAGTGGCCCAGTCAGGAGGGAGCCTCTGTCTCCTGGTGCTCAGAGCACATGCAGTTTCTCCTGGGCAGACTCTGGTGGCATGGGGCAGAGCACAGCTGTGTGACATCAGCACACCGAGCAGAGGCAGAGGGTAAGTGAGGAGGCAGGATTCACCCGTGGGCACACATGAATGCTCTTCCTCGTCATGACTCCATGCAGGGAATGCAGACTTCCAGGTCTTAATTATACAGTCTCAGTTTTAGGGGGGACCATCAATAATCTGAAGCTGCTAGCACCCCAGTGTAAAAGGCTCCTTCAAAGCAATATGTCCAGAACAGCAAGAAATGTGCACCACAAAATCTCTACATTCATTTAAATGCCTGCCAAAATGTATTTTAACCTCAGGTATTTATTGACAATCCTGTGGAGCTAATGTTCAACAATTTTTTTTAAAAAAGTATTATGACCAGATCTGGCCACCATTCTAATCCAATAAAATCCATTTGGGGGGACTTTCATGATAGAACAACGAGGTTCATTTGTTATTCAGAAACTTGCAGAATTTTATGCAACCTCAAACAGCAAAAATAATTTGCAGATTAGTGTTAGCACAAAACATTAAAGATCAGAAAGTGCAAAAACAGGCTGAGAGCACAGTTATACTTACTCCATGTTAAAGATCAGGTTTCTGATACAGCCATGGAATGAGCTTCTCATTTTGAACATTGATGTCCCCTCAGCCTCTGGCATTCCTCCTACGTACAGGTGGGACACATTTATTGTCCTGCTTTCTGCTAATGGGCCCAACTTCATTTCTACAGAATTGGTCTCATCCAATTGGACAGTGATAATTCTAAGAGATCAAAGGAGAATTCTAAGAGATCAAAGGATCTCATCCAATTGGACAGTGATAATTCTAAGAGATCAAAGGAGAAAATAAAAAGCTTTCAAGTATAATGATATAACTTCATTTTAATACATAATTCTGGCAAGGTCTTGTTGAATAATCAAAGTTCCCTGAAGATGAATTTTAACATGACATTGTATGTGAATAAAAAAGTGAGTCTTGAAAATTAAAGCTTACAATTTAATATTCTCTAGAAATAAATGGAATATTATTATCATTAAATTCGATTGCTTTTTGGAAAGTATTTTTCTATTACCTCTGTACCTATGATAAAAGCGTCCAGAATGCCTTTAAAACATTTGTTCTACAGTTTTAGAGGGAAATACACAGGAATGTTGATACAATACTATTCACTAAAACTCTAATACTATTTGCCACAAAATTAATCCAAGGTAAAGACAATTTTCATTGGGCCCCAGTAAAGGGCAGGATTAGGGTTGTTCAATTATGAAAATTCCACAAACATTTTATTACAAAGAAGATGAAAGTGATTCCCAAAAAGGTATTCTAGCAAGGTTTTAGAATTTTTTTGACTGTAAAAACTGTGAATACTAATGAGGTCACACTAATTATCCCAATCATTTAACTGAACCGGGCAGAGGCTTCCACAAGGTCACAACACCCTCATTACACAAGAGCCTTGCAGTGCATGTGGTACCTCCGATTCCTAACCAAGGAAATGGAATGCTCTCGTCCATCACCGTAAGTGCCTGTGGGAGCGTGCAGGAGAGCTTTTCTCAGGCTGGTTCCATCCCCAGAATTGACATGAACTTCAACGTGGCCATCAATCAGCATGATGGAGAAGAAAGGCTGGGGAGGTTGCATAGAAAATTTCCATACAAAACACATTACTATATGATTTTTTAAAATTTTCATCTTATAATGTAGGAATATTAATACCAAGTAAGCAATTTCTTAAGAATCTTACCATCTAACACAATGATTTTAAATTTTGTATATTACTTTCTGGTCTCTACTCATATAATTTACATTCTGCATTTTGCTATTATCACTAAACAAATCAAAGATTTCTATTTCTACAAAGTCTTCATACTTACTAGTTACTGCTACATTATGTACCAACAAGTACATATATTCTAATTTGCCTTTTTAACAATTAAATCTTAAGTAGTTTCTAGTTTTTTATTAGCACACATATGAACATTTAATTACTTTTTATTTTTCCTGTGAAATTGTTTCTAACATTTCTAAAAGTGGAATTAAAGGGTTGAAAGGTTTTGAAAGTGTTTAAAGCTCTTAAAATATTTTTGCCACACTGAAAAGAGGTATAACAATTTATAATGCCACCAGCAGAATTGGAATGTGAGTGTTTCATGATACCCTTGCTAGCGGTGGAAAATATTTCTTTTTGCTGGCTTAGTAAGCAACCTTTGATTTGCAAGTAACTCTATTAAAATTGATGAAGGAAAACAGTTTGGCAGTTCCTCAAAGTTAAGCAGCATAGAATTACCATATGACCAGCAATTCCACTCCTAAGTACAGTATACACCCAGAAGAATGAAAAACAAGGACTCCAACAAATACTTGCACATATATGTTCATAGCAGCACTACACACAATAGCCAAAAGACAGAAATAACCCTATGTCCATCAATGAACTGATACACAAATTGTGGTATGTATATACAGTGGAATATTATTCAGCCATAAAAAAGAATGAAGTATTGATACATGCTACGATGTGGACGAACCTCAAAAACATGCTAACTGAAACACTCAAAAGATCAATCTCGTATGATTCCATTTATACAAAATAACTGGAATAAGTAAATCTATCCGTAGAGACAGGAAGCAGACAGCGGTTGTCAGGAATGGGAACAGAGGGACATGAGGAGCGACCGCTCACTGGGCATAGGCTTCTTGGGGTGATGAGTGTGTTTGGAACTAGATAGAGAAGATGGTCTCACAACATTGTGAAGGCACTAAATACTCCTGAATGGTTCACTTCAAAATAGTTAACTTTATGTTATATGAACTTTATCTCAACTAAAGACAAATCAGTGGATCCCACAAAACCAATCTCAGTCCCTGTCAGCCCTTTACCAAGTGGCTCATGATGTATTTGGGGTCTGCAGACTGGTGTTCCAGTCCTCATTCTGACCCATAACAGCTGTGTGACCCCAGGCAGGCTAACCAGGCCCTCTGACCCTGTTTCTTCCTCAGCCAAATGTAGGATGCAGCATCCACCTCGCAGCACGGTTGTGAGGACTAGACAGCAACACTGTAAAGTACCTTGCACAGTAGAGGACAATGCTCTATAAATTGTAGTTGCTTGAGCTCTACTTCATGGAGACATCAGAATTCTATAAAATCTCTTCAAATTGGGTAAATATCTTGAAGTGGTATCTGTTCTCTCCTCTGCTACTTCTGGGCCACTGTGCTTAGCACAGCCACATTTTACTTTCTGCTCCTTTCAGTCCTATAATAGATAACGAGCATCCTGCTTCGTGGAGCGGTTGACTAAAGACCGGAGCAGAATTTAAGGACTTGCTGCTTTAGCCTTAGAATGGGGAATGACAGCCACAGCATGTGGAGGAAAACTCAGCACGTGCCAGCTGAATGAGTTTTTTAAAAATTAGAGGTAGACAACAAATATCTTTTTTCTCATTCGCTAGACAAGGAAGACGGATTGTGAAACACAAATCACTGATTCATAAGAGAAAGACATTCCACAATAACTTTTACTTATTAAAAATGCATATCCATAAACAAACGGGAAAGTAGCTACACTACATGTTTGTGAGTCAGTCATTTCCCAGCGTGTTTCCTGAAGTCGTTCCCTTCCTGAGCCTGTGCATGGTGGCACTGGAACTACTCACCACGCGTGCCTGCCGACGACCCTGCTGCTCCGAACCTCCGCCGAGGGCCACCAGGATGACACCACTGCTGTTCTTGGTGGCAAACGTTGCCAGCAATTCCGAATCTGGTGACAAAGACTTGGGTGGCAATTCAACGTAGCCACCTTTCAAGAAGCTCACACTTCGGATGGGCTGGTTACAGAGGAGGTGCAAGAGACGTTAAGGTCCCCCGCAGGCTGAGCCCCCATGGCGAGGCTGTGGCCAGGTTGCCCCATCATCATCTTTTTCCTAGCCCCCCACTGGTTTAGATTTTGTTACATTATGATATTGATAAATCAATGGACACTTACAGAAACTCATCCCAATATAAATAATAAAAATGTCTCCCACCTCTAGTACACAGCCTTTTCTCACTCCATAGGAATTTCTGAGTAAATCAAAGGTCGATCTGGATATTTCCAGGTTCTTGATACAGCCCACATAGCTTTTGCTACTGACACCTTTCCTGTAGGGAAGGACATGCAAACAACCAGCACAAAAATCTGGATTTCATAATTCCATTTTTAAAGAAAGGAATAGTGGACCAACATACATGTGAACCTGTTTTCGTGTATCACTCCCTCTAAGAACAATATTGGTGCTGAGAACTTCAGGTCAAAGAAATACTCTCTTTAGGATTAGAGAAACAGGTTGAACTTATTAGTGAGTTTGGCTACTTAGATGACTACCACATAAGAAATATGTTTAGTATTTTAAGGTGAACCCTTACAATCATTACAATTTAAATACACTCATTTAAACACAGGCCAATTATAAGACTTACATTGTCATAAGGAAATCATAGCCCACAGACTACAATCCAGCCCCTGCACAGAGCAGCACACTCACCCCCTGGGGGCAGGTGTAGGCGATGCTATTTCCTAGGATCAGTAGGCTCGAGCAGTCGCTGGCTGCTTTCCATACTGTATATTCATGAACTTTGTTCTGAAGGAAATAACTGTGTTTGGTGAAGTCTGGGATTATCCAAAACCCCATTTCTTAGCCTCCGAGTCAATATCATATTTTTCTCTCATTTCTAAAATATGGAGACTATCGAACATCTTCCAGCTGTCTCCTATGCATCAGCTAGGCACAGGAGAACTGTGCAGCAATCTGGTTTCCTGTTATAGTCACACCTCATCTTTTCCCTCTGTGCTGAGCAATGAGCTGTGGCCCGTTAGGCAACTACGTGATTTGGGACAAATTTCAACCTTTCTGGACCTCAGTTTCTTCCAATGTAAATGAGGAAACTGACCTTGATGATACCCAAGTCCTTTCTACCATGAAAGTCTGTAAGACTTGGCAAATGACCCCCTTCCTGGATTTAAATGCATCCATTTCTAAGATCACAAGGTGACTGCGCTCGCAAACTATGATTCATGGAACTTTCAGAGATTTCTGGGAAAGAGCAGGGGGGAGTGGGGAAGTGGGCTCCTGCTGCTCACGCACAGCAACTGGAAAGGCTGCACATCTGTGCCACATCTTAGGATTCTATAGAAGAACTTGGTCTAATGACAGACAGGGTAGTGCCACAGTATACATTTGAAAACCACTGGGCTGAGTGACCCAGTTTAGACAGTTGATGGCCTCTCCCTGGAGGAGGTCTTGCCTTGACTGCTGGCCTTTCTTTACGACTTTTTTTTTTTTTAAATGGTGTGAAAGAACCTTAGAGACTTAATTTGTCCAATCCAAAATTACAAAGCTGAGGACAATGAACCAACACAAGGTTTACGTAAATCATCCAAGTCACAAAGCTAAATGTGAATCAGTGTTATAAAAGGATTCCTCTGTCTCTCTCCTCCGCCATCTTTCATCCAACTTCCTGCTGTTGGTCTTTCAACTTTCACGTATGTTATTCATTCTAATCACACAAAGGGGGAATCCAGATAAGTCTGCAGAAAGCATGATTGCTTTTTGGTTTTAAAGAGATTCTAGTACTCTAAAATGTCTGGAGAGAAGGATGGAGTGAGACAGAAGGCAGGGTCTCCAAATGCTGCACAGTAACAATTTTTAGATGTTCTGAAGGCAATATACACAAAAGCATTGATTTTTCTGCAGAAGGCCTGCTTTACTTCCCAATTAATATGGCATATAGTACTTTGAATAAAAGTGGATGTAATGGGCTGAACGGTGTCTCAACTTGTGTAATCAAGTTACGGCGAGGTCATCAGGGTAAATCCTAGTCCAATATGACTGGCGTCCTAATAAGAATGGGAAATTTGGAAAAGTGACAGAGGCACAGAGGGAAGATGATGTGAAGCCACAGAGACAATGCCATGTACAGGTTAAGGGATGCCTGAAGGTACCTGAAGCTGGGTGCATGGTACAGGCTGCCTCTCGCAGCCCTCAAAATGAAGCAGCCCTGCTGACACCTTGATTTCAGACTTGTAGCCACCAGAACTGGGAGAGAATAAGTTTCTGTTGTTTAAGACACCCAGTTTGTGCTACTTTGTCATAGCCCTAGCAAAGTAATATGGTTGGTAATC